CGGGGAAATCTGATACAAAATTGCAAGTTCCAGATGACTTGCAAGCAAGTTAGTGGATAAGCACATTATTGCTGCTGGGCGGGGCAGGGTTCATGGATGGCCAGCAAAGTATGGTATGAGCACAACCAGAGATAGCTGTTACTGGGTTGCAGAGGTTTGCAGGTTGCCAGTGCAGCTGGGACCTTTGGGGATCATTATATTATTGTTCAGCACCATAATAACTTCAAACATAATTTGCTGAATTAGTGATCATTAACTATTACATGTATGCCAATAGACTGAACAAATCTAATTGATTCAGGATTAGATGTTCAGGAAAATATTTAATGCCCCGTTCTCCTTGACACCATGTTATTTTTTTCTCCAAAATTTACAATCCAGTGGCTTATGGAAGTAAATCCTCCAAATTGGAAGTAGTTCTGATGGCCTCGACAAAATGTTCCAAGACCACACAGACCTACCCCCATGTTATCTTGGAACTATTTGCTTTATCTTTATTCTCACTGAAACCTTTACTAATTTGTTTACTGATGGAAAATATAGATTTAAGTCTTAGCTCACTTTGTTACAGTATTCAAAATATGGACTACGTTCTAATTTGAAGAATTTTCCTTGCTAATAGAAATTTTTAAAAAGTTAGAATTAGGAACAAAATAAATAATTGCACTAGCACAACCTTATGTTTTATACTTCAATTCTTCTGGCCTGTAGATCAACTCTATGATGGAAACTACTGAAGTCTGCCATTGTGTTATCCATGTTTTTCTGTCCCCACTATTTAAAATAAACCTAGTATTTTTAGCTCAAATTGTTGGAATATTGATATAGGACAGAAAGAGATAATAGCATTTCTAACCTGATATATCTGAACCTGAACCAGTTCTGACTGACGCATCAGTAAAAGATGCAGATTCAGAATCAGAGTCACTAGCTTCACTTCGCGTATCATAATCATTTCCCTCCTTCTGATCTCTTTCATCTTGATCATACTCTTCTTCCTCATCATCTCCATCTTCTTCTGCTTCCTCTTCTTCCTCTCCATCATCATCTTCCTCTTCTTCCTCCTCTTCTTCCTCCTCTTCCTCTTCCTCCTCCATTCCTTCCTCTTCCTCCTCTTCTTCTTCATTTTCAGTATTTCCTGCATCAGAGGAACCACTACTACCTGTTTCATGATCTGAACCATATTCCTCAGAATTTACTTCTTCTTTTGAAGAATGGCTTGACCTACTTGGTTGTCTCTCCACATCATGCCTTAGTCTCTGTTTATAGAAAAAAATCAGCAATCAAGACCAATTATTTTGAGAGAGAGTTCTAAATGCTTGCTTTAAACACTCATTTAATGTAACTGCAATGTATTATTCATTCAGGTTAAAAAATAAATTTCTCTTTAAATCTAGGAGAGAACAGATTAAAAATTAAAAGCCAAATACTGGTACTGCTTAAAACTAAGCAAGAAAGTGAAATGCTGAAATTAATAATAAAAAGCAACACACTATTGCAGAAAAGATCCTATCTATTTAAGTACAGACAGATTTACAACCCATTACTTACTGCAGACGCATCTGGGGTAGAGGACTTAGCTCTTCTGTCAACTTCCCTTTTCCTCATACATGCCTTTTCAGGCTGTCCCTTATACGGATCTCTGGAGGTGCTACTTGACATACGTATCTTTCTATCACTTTCTGGACGCTTACTTCTGTCAGATCTCCGATAATCCTCACTCTTGTATTCTAATGCTGGCTTTCCTTTTGTGCTGACAATTCTTTTGTTGTTGCTAACAGAAGAGCTTGGAGGTTTGGGTAAGATCTGCCTTGAGGAATGTACAGATGGTTTTTGTTTTTTAATTTCAGCTACTTCCATCCGCTCACTTTTCCTTTTGGATCCTTAAAAAAATAAAAGTTATTAATTACTTAAATGCTAAAAAACGTGTTGCAAACATTTTCAAAAACATTTTCTTATTTAGCATAGGTCAAAGCATAAAGAGACATTTAATCTAAATTTTTAATATCAGTAATTCTGCAACTATCAACTTTTAGCCAGATGATGAAAAATCCTAGGATTAAAGCTTGGGGAACTAAGGTATGAATGTGAAAATTATTGGATAAAGATGAAAAATATAGGAAATATCTGAAATAAAATTTTGTTTCTTGTTTCCATTTCATATCAGGGGAACATTTCCTATTTATCTGCCTTCAAAGATTTCAAATTATTAGTAATATTTGTTTACAAAACAACAGTAATTACTTAAAAGAAATAGTATTAGTTTATTTTATGTACTATTTTGCACAAGTTTGAATAACCATTTCATATCTGTTAAAGGTATGAAGAAAGAGGATTGGAGGATTGATAACATACGCTAAATACTGTAGATTAAGCAATGTTTGAAAAGCCAGGAGTGATGGGGAGAGAAATATTTCACAGGGAATTTGCTACACAAATTACTTTTACTAAATGAAGGGAAAAAAATAAGAGCATTTGGCAAGAAAAATAAAAATTCCTGCATACTGAGAACAGTTTTCAAACTTGCCAAGAGGCCACTTGCAAGGCGATAAATTATCTAGTAGGTATCATATCTAATTCAGCTCCAAAAATTATTTACCCAGCTCTCTGGAAATACAACCAAGTTGTAAAGTAGTATACCTTTTTTTTCATTTTTATCTTGTTCACTATCAGGATTATACAATTCATCATCATGATCTGGTGCATCAGTCAAGATATCATCAAGAACATTCAATTCACCATCTATGAAGACATAACAAATATTATTTAGAAATGATACAGTATTTTTTTAAAAAAAACTGAATGAAAAGGTACTGCAAGCCAATATTGCAGACTATTAGTACCATTCCTTATCTATTCTATTCATGGTTGCCTAGAATCAAAGTGGAAACTGAGTACTAAGTTTTCTTTAAATAAATATGTTGAACAAATAAGAGGTAATATACTGTAATATAAGCAAGAAAATAAATAATTGCATAAAACTTTGTGTCAGTATCCTTCCAGGGGTGGTGTATTTCTCTGTCCTTGTTGATCTTACTGGCAATATCTACTTGTCAAGTGTGGCAGTGAATAAATTCCTGCTATGCCTAGAACAGGAATTCAAGCTCCTTTTGCCACAAGGTTATATGGTATTTGATTAATACTTACTCAAAGAATAATTATTAAATAATTTTATCTATTCTATAGAGAAATTCCTAGTCTGCTCATCATTAATATCAATTGCTTCTTTGTATTATGCTACAGATAGTCTTTGCTTAATTACTGTTGCTTAGCAACTGTTCAAAGTTCTGACAGGCTCTCCTATTTCAAAGTTCTGACAGCTACCCCACCCACATGATCGTATTTGGGGCACTTGACTAGAGTTTACTATTCTAAGCTATACTATAGCTTGTTTGACATTGACTTACCATGTAACATGAACCCAAATGTAGTGACTTGAAAACTAATTTAAAGATTAATGTGAGGTAGCTAAATGTCTATGGAGATTCTCAATCATCCAAGTCATGATTGTCCCAAAGGTGGGTTTTTTTTTCTCAAGAGGCAACTTAGACCTCTTGAGAACTGAGACCTCTGTTTTTCTTTGAAGACATTTTGCTTCTCATCCAAGAGGCTTCTTTAGCTCTGACTGGATGATAGGAAATGGAAGGATTTATACTCCTTGCAGACAGCTGGCCATTTGCATCCTTTTAGCGAGTCATTAAGGACACCTGGAGGTTTATCTGTGTCTTCAGAGTCACTTGAGTAGGGCAAATTGGTGTGGAGGCCTTTTCTGGAATTGTTGAAAGGACTGTGTTGTAGACTAGAGATGAATGATGTTATATCCCTCGCCCTCTGTTGAGAGAGGGCTGTTCAATTTTGACGTAGATGGCTTCTTTGATCCCTGTTTCAAACCAGCAGTCTTCTCTGTACAAAATGTGGACTTTGCTGTCTTCAAAAAAGTGGCCTTCATCTTTTAAATGCAGGTGAACTTCTGAATCTTGTCCTGAACCAACCCATTAGGACAAGATTCAGCACCATCCAGTCAGAGCTTCAGAAATAGAACATCTTCAAAGAAAAACAAAGTTCAGTTGCCTCTGGAAAAAGCACCTTTGGAACAACCATGACCTGGATGACTGAGAATCTCTATAGACAGTCCTTTCAACAGTTTCAAGAAGGCTCTAAAATAATGCAAATGACTAGCTGCCTGCAAGGAGTATAAATCCTTCCATTCCCCATCATACAGTCAGAGCTGAAGAAGCTTCTTGGATGTGAAGTGAAACATCTTCAAAGAAAAACAAGGAAGTCCAGTTGCCTCTTGAAAAAAGCACCCTTGGACATTAATGTGAGGTTTTAGTCACTGGAGTTTACTTAATAAACCAATTAAAACAAATTATGACTTAGTTCAGTATCTCGTTTAGTGGTTAAAGAAAATGATTTGCAAGAAACAATTTTTTAAAAGTATGAAAATTCTGCCATTTCCATTGCTGAACTGATTTAATAAGTTTCTATACTGATAGCTGACAATTATTTATAGCAAACCAGTACCAAATTTTGCAAAGACAATTACAGGGACTTGTCCAAGTAGTTGTGATTGACTTGAATGCTTAAACAAAACAAAACCCATAATCTATGCCCACTCAGAACATAAAATTGTAGGGGGAAGTTAAGATAAGTAATCAATATGATTATTTAAATAAATGAAAATATAAATTAATGTTTTTCTCAACCCTTTCTGATTTGAGGTGCATCAGTCAAAAATAAAGGGTGGTCCTTAGTTTAGGAAAAAACTCCATTATCTTTTAGGTAATTTAGAGGCATCTAATAGCTATAATCCTACTATTATTATATACAAAAAATGTGAAATAATTTTTGTTTTGAAGTGAAGCAAAACCTAGTTGTTTCAAACACAATCATATTGAACGCTCTGACTGTTCTGAGGATTGCAACTAAGCTGCTATTTTGTGGCTTGTGACTGGGTTGTTTTCAAGCTCTGTCCACTCTAGCTGGTAGAAAAGCAGAGAGCAGTCATATCTCTGCTGCTATTGGTTTGACTGGATGAGGTGATGTGAGAGATTGTTGAAAGGAAAAGAAAATTGAGGTACATGGCCCAATAAAAAAGAATGCTTCCAGCTGTACACATGTCTGGTAAGTTACTACTGCTAGTTTTTTTTTAAAAGAACTATTTAGAGAACTATCAGTTCATCACATAGACTAACTAACATCTTATGCTATACAGCTATTCATCAACTTATGACCACAATTGAGTCAAAAATTTATGTTGCTAAGTGAGTTTTGCCCCATTTTATGACTTTCCTTGCCACAGTTAAGTGAATCACTGGAGTTGTTAAATTAATAACAGGCTTGTTAAGTGAATCTGGCTTCCCCATTGACTTTACTTGTCAGGTCACAAAAGGTGATCATATGACCCTGGAACATTGCAACTGTCATAAATATGAACCAGTTACCAAGCAGCCGAATGTAAATCAGATGACCATGGGGATGCTGCAATGGTCATAAGTGTGAAAAATGGTCATAAGTCACTTTTTTCAGTGTCATTGTAAGCGAACTGTTATAAGTCAAGGACTACCTGTACTTTATTTTGCAGGTAGATAATATTAAAGATATGCCTCATATGCAAATCTTGCTGAAGCTGTTAAGACTGTATAAAATGAAGATTACTACTACAGTGTTGTTTGGGATGGCTTGTTAAGCTCTGGATGTACTCTGTGCACCCTCATGTATCCTCCTGTGTTGAGCTTAAAAAAGCATTGAAAAAAATCTAAGCATGGTTTGTTGAAGAGGATTAATTTGTTGAGTTTTGGCATGCTTATCATCCTGTCTTGTTCTTCTAATGCTAATGTTACTTGTGATTAGGAATATCAGTAATCAGCAATCACTCAAAGATGCAAACAGAATATGATCTCCAATGAACATCATTATTGCTTCTGCTAAATCTGGCACAGATTACAAAACTAGAGGCTGCATAGAAATTAAATCTGAAACTTGAATAACCTGGATTTTACTGAATAAATCCTTTACCTTAATTTGATCACTGACAAGATTTGGAGGTTTACTATAATGATTTTTATTTTGATGAATCACTTTCTATTTAAAAAGTATTACAAATAGAAGCTTCTATTGACTTTTACCTACTAATACCAAACTCCCCCTGCCAGCACATACATTCAAATACAAAAGATGTGATTATTACCATAACCCGTTAATCTACAATTCATAAAATTAATGTCCTACAAATGGTAGAGGCAGTAGAGACAGAAGATCCACTAGAAAGATAAGTATCATTCTTTCTAGTTTTATAGTCAGCAGTATTCCAGGAAATTTTAAAAAAAATGCTGGCATTTAGTAAATAATTTAATAACTTTTAAAGAAGGAAGATTGAGAATATATCTAGAATTTAAATCATTTGGAGAAAAGATTGGCCATCCACCATGTTTAAGTGTAGGATGGAATTTAGCTGATAAACTCTTTTTTGCAATAGGCTGTATAGTTAATATCTAATTGATAAAGTGGTTAAAGATGTTGAGCTTGTCAGCTGGAAAGCTGACAGCCTGAGTTCGAGACCCTAGCACCACATCATGGGGATGAGTTTGTGCTACTTGCCCCAGCTCCTGCCCATATAGCAGTTCAAAAGCATGCGAATACTAATAGATAGATACCACTTTGTTTGGAAGGTAACAGTATTCCGTGCACCTCAGTGGGTAGTCATGCTGGCCATATATCCATGGAAATGTCTTTGGACTACACATTCTCCCTCGGCTAAGAAACCGCTTCCTTGAGTTGGGCATGACTGCACAGGGGAAATCTTTACCTTGTTTATCAATTCTTGGTAACTTAACAAAGAAGGCTTTTGAGCATACAACTCTCTGTGATAGCCCATTATAAATTTGTCTAGGCAAAGAGAGCTGACGAATTTTTTTCCTGAATTATATATTATTTTGTTTGAAGATTTCATTATTGGTGATAATTGTATTGCAAGGTTTTAATTCTGTCTTCCCTCGCTGAAGACTAGGTGATAACTGAGGAGGCATTAGAATTTCAAATAGTCTGCAGGTTTCTTGTGTACATGTGATTCACTTCTACCTGCAATACAGACAGGTACATACACTAGATTGTTAGTATTTTTTCTTCTGCTAAGAAGGCAATAGGTCAAACTGATGTGCTATTCAATGCCTGGGATAGATTAAAGCAAACCTTATATAAGTTAATATAAGGTGATTCTGATGCTCCCACCGTATCTTAATACCATATTAGGAAGTAGTAATGGTTCTTTATTCCCATATTTTTAAAAAATTGTTTTCTCTAATGGTGCTCCTGCCTGTTTCCTCACAATTGTAAAGATCATGGAATTTATTTGCAAGTCAGTGTTCAATACAAATGATAAACACTTTAACTTTTTGATGGACATGATATTACTGGAGCATATAATATGGAGGAATGGGGATCCAGCATTACTTACGCCATAGTTTTATATGATTTTTATATGATTTTTTAAAAATTAGTTTCATCCTTTAATACTTTTCTATAGTTATGGTAATATTGAAAACTCTCCATTAACAATTAGTTAATGGAGAAATCAAGAGAAAATCATACAGTTAACAAAAAATGATCTGCATAGAGAAAAACACAACTAACACCAGAATGAAATGATCTACAAAAGTGGGGAATTTAACTCAAACCTATTTAATTTCCAAGACGGGTCTAGTGTTGCATAACATTTTAATTTAAGAGACAAAATCCAAACATGGTAAATGGACACTGCCAGGCAATCCTATAAAATTGTACCTGATCAGGCACAAAATAAAAACAAACTCTTCCATTTCATATTACAACCCTGGTTTGATCATGGGTGCATGCATTCAAGGCTAACTTACTAAAATAAACAAACCTAAAAATTATTCACTCTATGGCAAATTTTTTATTTTAAAAGTACAGGCAGTCTTGACTTACAACTATTCATTGATAGTTTGAAGTTATAATGGCACTGAAAAAAGTGACTTATGAACACTTTTCACTTACAACCATTACAGCATCCCAATGGTCACATGATCAAAACTTGGATGCTTGCAACTGGAATTATTTATGATGGTTACAATATCCCAGAGTCATATGATCTTCACTTGTACCCAACCAATTTATTGGGGGAAGTCAAATTTGCTTAATGACTGCATGGAAAACAACTGCAGTGATTTGCTTAACAACTGTGGCAAAAAAGATAAAAAATGGGGCAAACTCACTTAACTGCCTTGCTTAGCAATGGAAATTTTGCGCTCAGTTGTAAGTCAAAGACTACCCATATGTACAAAGCTTAATCAAAAGAAAGAAAATGGATGCCATTTATCTGAAATTATGTAATTTGACTAATTTTAAAAAAGATAGTGGCTTCTAGATTATTGTAGTTTTTATAGAGCAAGGAATTCTTACAGAGTTGGTAAAGTAATAAACACAAGGAAGAAATTTGTGGTGAGTTATTTTGTGGCTCTTCCCACAAGAAGATTTAGGCCTCGCCTAAATCTTCTCCCTTTTAAGTGTAAATTTTAAATTTTTACTGTATTTTAAAATATGGGTATTTTAAATCATGGGTATCAATTCAGCCAAATTTATTTAATTCATTTTATTCGATTTTAAATTTTGTATATGTATGTGTTTTATTTCATGGCTGTTCACTGCCCTGAGTCCTTCGGGAGTAGGGCGGTATAGAAATTCAATAAAATAAAAAATAAATAAAATAATAAATAAATCTTTATTTCCCACCATTGCAGCTCAAAGTAATCTAAGGTGACCTGCTCCTCACTTGCCAGTATCACAGTAGTTCTCTCTCACATTCCCAAACTGAACTGACAATTTAAAAGTGGGAAGCTTCCTGTATGATCCAATTTCCCCTTTTCTATGAAAAAGAATACAGATTGCAGACCTCAGTTCTGGCATCTATCTTTACATGCCTTAGTGATATAAACATAAGTCTTCTGTACATTCCTAAGAATTGGAGATACATTGTATGAGTCTCAGGAAGAGAACAGGAAAGAAAAGAGAGAACAGGGCTAATCCAGCCTTTATTGTCTAAATACTTTTGGTCACTGTAAATAAAATATATAAACCTTTTTTTGGGGTGGAGAGGGGACTTTTGGATTGATTTCAATGAGAAAAAGTTCTGGAAGATAAATAACAGAGTTTTAAAATTTCTATTTTATACCTTGATTTTATACTTAGCAATATGTTCTGGTAGTAACTGACACACTCCTGCATTGAGCCAAGATAGTTACACTCAGTTAAAAAGCTACATGAAAATGTTCCCATCCTAGGTAAGCCAGAAAAAGCCCATTATCTGTTGAAATCTCTATATAGAAAGATGTGAACCAAGATTGTATTCTCCCTTTTAATATTTAAATTATATAGTTTTAGCTCTAACTAAAAGTAAATTTTATTCTCCCTTATTAGGTAACAGCCAGGTTATGCTGGTGACATCACTACCATCTTTATTTTACTGATTGGATTCAGAAGTTTTCAAGCTCTTATGATGCGGAAAAGCTAACTACTACCTATCTCAAAAGTAAAGTTATGATTCATCAAAGAGAGCCTCCCATCATTAGTATTGCCTTGAAAGAGGCGGTGGTGAGGCCGCTCCTCAAGAAGCCTTCCCTGGCCCCGGCTGTATTAACTAACTATCGTCCAGTCTCCAACATTCGCTTTGTGGCGAAGGTTGTTGAGTGTGGTGGCGCGACAACTTCCCCAGTACCTGGATGAAGCTGTCTATCTAGATCCGTACCAGTCGGGTTTCAGGCCTGGGTACAGCACGGAAACGGCATTGGTCACATTGTTTGATGATCTCTGGAGGGTTTGGGACAGGGGTTGTTCCTCTGTCCTGGTCCTATTAGACCTCTCAGCGGCTTTTGATACTGTCGACCATGATATTATGCTGTGCCGGTTGGAAGGGTTAAGAGTGGGGGGGCACCGTGTTGCAGTGGTTCTCCTCCTTCCTCTCTGACCGCACGCAGTCTGTGTTGGCAGGGGGCAGAGGTCAACCTCGAGGCACCTTGTTTGTGGGGTGCCACAAGGGTCGGTCCCCTCGCCCCTCCTGTTTAACATTTATGTGAAGCCACTGGGTGAGATCATCCGTGGTTTTGGGG